ACTGGAATGGGGGTGGGGAGAGGGTGGAGTCCAGAGCCCTGCCTCATTCCCCCACTCTCCTGTCTACTGTCAGCATCTCCTGTTTCTTCTGTGGGAGGTTCTCCATCAGCCCTTCCCATGAAGTGTCCATCTTCAGATACTGTGCCCCAGCCGCCTACACCGCCAGCCGCTTCCCCCGATACCTCTATAAGAAGATGCGATGGAACCTGGAAACCACCCCAGAGCCCAGCAGCAGGGGTCAAGATTCCCATGTGGATTAGTGAGTGCCCTTATAAAACCAAAATTCTCCCCTCTCTTTGCAGAATGCCAGTGTGGGCCTCTGAACCACCACCACCACCACCATGGAAAGCCAAGCAGGAAACCAAAGCTCTTTGAAAGGCCATCCCCACCTTAAAAAAATCACCCTTCCATTAAAATAAAAATCCTCATCTTAAAAGTAGGCTAGCAGGGAGAAAAGGCCTCAATATTGAGCTACATCCCTACCTGAGAATTTGAGGGCAAATTCTGATGAGTTTCCACTTGCTCCCAAATTCAAAGCCCTCAACAGAAGCTAGGAAACTGCTCATTCTTAACTGATGCCCCCTCCCCTCCCAGCTACTTCCTGTGCTATCGAGATACATGGGAAGACACAGGCAAGAGCCCGGCCAATTCGTGCCCCCAGATCCAGAAGCTGTGGTCCATTGGCCGCTGGGTGCCGCTGGGACCTGCGGAGGATGACCTTTATTCATGGTAGGAGCTAGGGTGATGGCAAAGTAGGTTTGGGACCTGGAGGGAGGGGCAGAACCCCACCAAAGACCATCCACTTCTCCCAACTTTGTTTCCCTTGGTAATAAGGATAGCATTTTATTATGCCCTGAAAAGTGCTTTATGCAGACTTGAGTCACAACCCATTTAAGTCTGTGCTACAAGCCCCATCTTACAAAGAAGTAAACAGGTGCTCAGAGAGGTTAAGTTACCTGCCTGAGGACACACAGCAGCTGGGTGATAGATAGGCCAGGCCAGGGATAGAGTCGTGCAGCCTCCCAGAGCCATTACCCTCTAGGTTTCTCCTCAACAGGGAAACCACTTTCCCCCCAGGGTTCTTCCCACCCCCAGCTGAAACAAAGCCTCTTTCAGCCACAGCCTCTCACTCGAGGGGAGGGGCTCCCGAGGAGCAGGGGGCGCTCACGTCCAGGCCTGTCTGTCCTGGCCCCCAGGATTTTGTGCCCGCAGCCGCCGGGAGACTACCAGCAGCTGCTGACCATCGGCTTCGAGGAGCCCTCGCACATGCTGGCCACCGACCTGCTGGTGCAGATTCTCACCGGCCAGGCAGGCCCGGCCCGGCCCCCGAGCGCGGCCGGGCCCGCGGCGTGGGCCGCGCAGGGGTCTTGAGCCTGGAGAGAGGATGGGAGCTGGAGCTTGACAGTTCCAAACTCCAGGAGAGGGAGCAGGGGAGGGGCTCACTCGTTCTCCCAGTGCACCTCGGCCTCGCCTTCCAAAGGGCCGGGCCGAGCTGGCCAGTCCGCGCCGGGTCCGGCCCGGCCGCGAAGCACTGCGCGTGGACACACCAGTTTTGCGTTAAATAAAAGAAAGAAAGAGGTCACAGGCTCAGCGTCCGCTCCGAGTGCCGCGCCCCACCCCTTGGGGCGAGGAGCCCCGCCCACTCGCGCGGCCTTCTGGGAAATGTAGTCTTTGAAACAAAACCAAAGTCCCCCTCGACTGGCGGACAAGCACACGGGGCATGCGCAGAGGCGCACATGAAGCTAAAAGGGAAGTAGCAGTGCCTGTCAACAACCGGAACCCAAAAAACCGCAAGTTTTGGGTAGCCGGGAAATTCAACGCCCAATGGGGGAAGGGACCCCGAAGCCACGCCCACTCTCGTATTTTGACCCGGAAGTGACTTTTTTACCGAAAAGACTATATTTCCCGACGTGCCCCCGGAAAGGGCCCGGGATCAGTTTCCTAAAGGCCGGAGTCGAACCTTCCTCTTGTAGCTTTTGGATCGTGGAGCGGGCGGGGTGTCCGGGGCGCTGGCGGGTGGGAAAGCCGTAAGGATCTCCAAGTTGGGATCTCTAAGCGTAGCTCCGACCTTGGACTGGAAAGGAGACCCAGGTTGGGAGAGGTGAACTCACCTGCTCAAAGCTCCCGCGAGCAAGTGGCGGAGCTCGAACCTGAACTGGGTCTTTGCGATTGCAGCTGGTCCCTTGCGAGAGAGGAAGGGTGGCCTTCCTGACCCGCTGTCACTCATCTGCGAGGTACCCCCCCCCCTTTAAGGCGTGCCTTTTCGTTCCTTGCAGCATTTGTGGAGTGGGAGCAGAGACCTAACCTTGACCCTTTTGAGCAAAGCACTCGCTTACCTAAAACTCGCTTACCTGGCACACAGTATTGTAAGCCCCTGTTTAAGATGACAAAAAGGGGCGTGTGAAGTAAAATGAATCAGGATCGGAAAGCAAAACCCTTGATATTTTTTAGGGGGCCGGGTGTGTGTGTGTGTGTGTGTGTGTGTACAGTTTCTGACTTCAAGGATTGTTTAGTCTGAATGAGTTAAAGGGGTTTCTGAAACTCCCTCATACTGTGTTAGCCCCTGTGAATTACACACATACATTGTAAGACTCTCTTCAGCTTGGTTCAATAGAAATTTAAATTGAGCCACAAATGCAAGTCACATATGTTATTTCAAACTTCCTAGTAACCACATTTTTTAAAATGAGGTAAAAAAAAATGACATTAATTTTAGTGATTTTTATTTAACCTAACATATCCAAAATACTATTTCAGCATATAATCAGTGCAATAAATTATTGAGCTATTTCTGTTTTGGGGGCACTAGGTCTTTGAAATCTGGTTTGTGTGTGTGTGTGTGTATATATATATATTTAAAGATTTTATTTATTTGAGAGAGAATGCAAGTGGGGAGGGGCAGAAGGAGAGCAAGAAGCAGACTCCCTACTGAGCAGGGAGCCCAGTAGGGGCTCCATTCCAGGACCCTGAGATCATGACCTGAGTTGAAGGCAGACCCTTAACTGACTGAGCCACCTAGGCACCCTGGTGTGTATTTCACACTTACAGCACATCTCAGTTCAGACCAGCCACACATAGCTTTAGACGGTCTCCCCTTTTTTCCCCTAAGATTTCATTTTTTTATTTGAGAGCGAGCGAGCACAAGCAGGGAGAGCAGCAGAGGGAGAGGGAGAAGCAGGTTCCCCACTAAGCAGGGAGCCTGACATGGGGCTTGATCCCAGGGCTCCAAGATCATGACCTGAGTAAAAGGCAGACAGTTAACCCACTGAGCCACCCAGGAGCCCCTAGACTGTCACCCTCAAGGCAAATCCACAGGCCACTTAAACCAAAGGTTTCTGATGCATGGTGGCGGTACTGGCAGAGGAAGGAAACAGGCTTGATTTCCTGGATCCTGTTGCTCATGAACTGTCTATATTCATGAGTCTCCAACTTTATCATGGAATCGTGTGGACGTTCTGATTTTTAAGTCTGGGGTGGGGGCCCAAGAATGTGACAAGTTCTCAAGCCATCCTGATGCTGCTGGTCCGAGGACTACACTTTGAGAACTGTGAACCTACCCCTATGTGATGATGTTCTCAAACTTGGCTCCATGTAGGAAACACCTATAGAGCTTTAAAAAACACTGAGGCCAAGCTCCCTGTCAGATTTTGATTTACTTGGCATAAGGGTGCCTCATGTAATTTTAATTTGCAGGAAAGGTTGAAACTCAGGTCCACACTTACATAATCCACTCTACAGGCTTCGTTCTTAGCTCCCCTGCTGGGAATTAAGAAGCAGCTTTGGGTGTTTCCATTTCCCACCTTGGCAGCACTGGATCTTTGCTTTCTCTGCAGAGTCACAATCAAGTATGTGCTAGTGTCCTGATGATGGGATCAAGTAGTTCCTTTTTGGACTGAGCTTCTCTTGGGGTGCCTGTTGTGTGAGCATTCTTTCATTCTTCATCAGCTACTTGTCCTCCTTATGTAGAATCAAGACTGTTGCTGGACCTGGGGCATACAGAGTTGGACAAATCCAAGAGCTGAAACAATGAGTCTAAAACATTCCTGGGGGATGCCCGGGTGGCTCAGTGGTTGAGCTTCTGTCTGCCTTTGGCTCAGGTCATGATCCCAGAGGCCTGGGATTGAGTCAGTCCTGTGGGAAGCCTGCTTCTCCCTCTGCCTATGTCTCTGCCTCTCTCTCTCTGTATGTCTCATGAATGAATAAATAATCTTAAAAAATAAATACATTTAAAAAATTAAATTAAAAAACATTCCTGGGTCTTTTCTGAGTCTTATGCACCCCTAAAAAGCTGGTACCCTGAAATCATGGAATATAAGTGTTCAGATACATTTATTCAACTTATGGTGTTCACAGACTCTTGAACCCCTTGGGTTGGGAGAGAAATTAAGGAGGGCTTAACAAATGACAGCTACAAGCTGTATTGCAAGCTTGTTGCACTTTCTGTGTCCCCCCCACCCACCCACCCACCCCCAATTTTAAAAGTTTTCTAAATAGTCACATTTAAAGTTCAGTAGATTTCTCTCTTTTTTCAAAAAGCTTTTATTGGGGCACCTGCGTGGCTCAGGTCTTGATCTCTGGGTCCTGGGATCAATTCTCCTGTTGTCACAGTCAGGCTCCCTGTTCAGTGGGAAGTCTGCTTCTCCCTCTGCCTCTCTTCCCTGCCCAGGCTTGCTTGCTCACTATCTGTGTTTCAAGTGAATAAAATCTTAAAAAAAAAAAAAAAAAAAAAACCTGCCCCAGTGGCGCAGCAGTTTAGCACCGCCTGCAGCCCAGGTTGTGATCCTGGAGACCCGGGATTGGGATCGAGTCCCACATCAGGCTCCCTCTACCTCAATCTCTCTGCGTGTCTCATGAATAAATGAATAAAATCTTTAAAAAAATAAAAATAAAAAAAAAAGATTTGAGAGAGAGCATGCTCTAGCAGGGAGAGCGGCAGAGGGAGAAGCAGACTCCTCTGCGGAGTGGGGAGTGGGACATGGGGCTCCATCCCAGGACCCAGAGATCATAACCTGAGCTGAAGTGAGATTCTTAACTGAGTCACCCAGGCTCCCCTTTTAAAAGGCTGGGTTTCCTCCGTGCTTTTGGAAGTCAGAAGCTCTGATGCCACTGAGCTCACTCATTGGTAGTACTACTGATATGGAGGAACATTTACCTGCCCGCTGAAACAAGGCATTTTCTAGCACGCTCGGCTAATGTCTGTCGGGTCTACAGGCATGTGAGGTTTGCCATAGCTGGACAGATTATAAATGGCCTTGTGCGCCTTGCTAAGCTTGTACCCTTCACCACCACCCCCTTTGTTGGGTACCTGTTGTTTCTGTCCCCAGAGCAGGAGCAACCTCTTATCACCTCTGTCTAGCCCGCGCCCAGCCCGAGGCATGCATGCCGTAGGCACCAATCCTTGTTGGCGAAGTCTGGGAAAACGCCGGGCTTGAGCTCATTTGTCCGAAAGCCGCAGTTCGCGCCCGCGCCGCCAGGGGGCACCAGGATCCGCGTCGGGCCGGGGGAGACCCGCAGCCCCAGAACTGGGCGATAAAAGGCACATTCTGGGTACCGGTCGGCGCCTCCTGGGCTTTCTCAGGCCTTCCTCCGCCAGGCGCCCTCCTGCCCCAGCCCAGACGAAGAGGACCCAGAGGAAAACAGCCTGTACTGCCCAGAGAGAGGGGGCTTTATTGGGGGAGTGAGGGTAGCGCAGGCGTGACCCTGGCCCTCTAATAGTAAAGGCCAGAGGGCGACGCCACTTGGGCTTGCGGTTAGCCGGCGAGGAGCTGGACAGTTTCGCCCGCCGATTGAGAGTGTTTCCCAGTGGAGACTAACAGTTTTATAGACGACACCGGTCAATTTCACAAAGTCATGTCCAAGGGGGGCTGGTCGATTTGATCCTCCCCTGCGTGCAGACGGCGGGCCCTCCAGGCCTTCAGTGGATTCCGAGAGCACTCCTGGGCACCCCCACCAGTTCCCTCTGGCAGAGGGTCCCAGCCTGCTGGCATCTCAAGGCTTCCGCTCCTCCTGGGGAGAGGAGGCCAGACGGAAGGCCAACGTCAGGCACCCGCGCACCGCAGGAGCGACACCCGGACACAGGGTGGGGCGCTTTGGGCCCCGGGACAGCCGCAGCCTCCTCACCCCGGGGCCGTGCCCAGAACTTTGCGTCCTAGCCCAGAGCGACTTCCCAAGGACGTGGGGGTGCACTTTCCCTGACCCAGCACCCTGGCGCCCGCGGAGGAGGGGGGAGGGAAGAGCCACTAGCGCTAGAGGCCAGAGGGGAAAGGGAGCTCCCACCTGCTCCAGGCCGCTCTCCGATGACTTCCTGCGGGGAGGCCAGATCACCGCCAGCTTTCCGTCGCCCCTGCTCGCTGCGGGGGAAGGGAGCTCAGCTGGGGTTGCCCCTCCTGTCACCAGCTGGAGGCGGCCAGGACCAAGGAGGCCGGCCGCACCCCTTAAACACACAGGCGTCTACCCTCCTTCCCACGGAAGCCTCCATCCTGAAGGAGGGAGCCACCTGAAGGAGGAGGCAGGCGAACCCAGGGTGGGAGGTGGAAACCCCTAAATTCAGAGGAGGATCTGGGAGTGCCAGAACTCAGGCGGGGTTCCCTGGAACCCGATAAAGACTTCTAGAATCCTCCTCCTCCTTTCCCCACCAGGAGCCTAGGTGAGGTGGATTCGGGAGGCGACCATTCCGAGGTGGGGGTGGACCCAGGGAAGCGGGCAGCCCAGAAGCGGTGGGCAGGGCACGGACAGTTGAGGGGGGTGGTCCCAGGACCCTGGGAGCCCTGCGTGGGTACCTTGAGGGCCGGAAGAGAGGCCACTGGAGTTGGACTGTCGGTGAGAGCGGCTGGAGCCCACAGTCCCCAGCGTCAGGGCGCGCGTGGCTTACCCGTGAGGCTGGGCGCGGGCTCCTTGAAGTCGGCGGTGCCGTAGACGCTGAGCCGCTGGCGCTGCAGCTCCCGCTCGCGCTCAAGCACCTCGCGCACCTCCTGCTCCAGCAGCGACGGCGCGACCCGCGGCGGGGCGCGGGCCAGCACCGGGCACCGGCTGGGCACGGCCAAGCGCGGCCGGCCTCCGGGATCCGGCAGCCCCCGCGGGCCCGCGCCGCCTTCAGCCGCCGGCGAGGAGCCGCGGCCCCCGGCGGCCTCAAAGAATCGCTTGAGCTCGCCCAGCGGCTGCGGCGGCGGCCGGGCGCACGGCTCCGGGGCTGCGGGGCGCGCCAGCGCCGCCTGACGGTGGGCCTCACGCTCGATGTCTCGCTGCATCTGCGCGCCCGCCCGCGCGCGCTCCAAAGCGCGCGGGAGCGCGGGGCCGGGACCCGGCAGGCTGAGCACCGGCCGCACACGCAGCTCGACGAGTTCTCGGCCTGCGCGGCCTGGGCTCAGGCCCCGGCTTCGGCGCAGGCTCTCCTCGCGCTCGCAGCTGCGGCGGATCTCTCGCTCGATGGGCGTCTCCATGAGCGGCTCCCCGGGCGCCTGCTGGGGCGTCTCGGGGCTCTGTAGGAAACGCTGCAGGAGGGCTTCCGAGCCTGACCCTGAGGAGGAGGTCTCGGGACCCCGAAGAGGACACTGCTTGAGCACCCTCGCGCTTCCAGACGCCTCGGGGTCGTCGTTGCCAGGCCCGAGGCTCTCAAAACCCCCAGCTGCACACGGCCCGGGGCGTTCCGCGTCCAGCCCCGCTGGTGCCCCAAGGACTTGGCTCTCTTGCTCAGGGGTCTCCACGCCCTGCTCTGCGGAGGGCAGGGAGACCTTGCCTCCAGGCCCGGGGCCCCCGAGGTCCTGCTCTGCCGCAGGCCCCGGGACCTCGCTGTCTGACCTGGGGGGCTCGGGGCCCCGCGCTTCGGGCGACCCCAGGGCTCCGCTCTCCGGCCCGGGGGCCTCGGTGTCCAGGGTTGGGAGCAGCTCGAAACCCTGACTTTCCAGCGCCGGAGTTTTGATGCCCAGAGCGGGGACGCGGTGCCCTGCGCGGCACCTGTGGCACAGTCACCGCCCGCAGGTCCCAAGGCGTCGCCTACCTCGGCCGCTTCTCTGACCCGCCCCTGGCCTCCAAGAACGGCCCCCGGGGGCAGGGTTGGGCGCCGCCCCCTACACCTGCGGGGAGGACTACGGCCCGCCCCGGCCCCGCCCTCGGGGCGGGGGCGCCCCCGCCGGGCGGCGCACTTCGCACTCTGAGGCGCCTCGGGTCAGCTCAGGGCACCAGGTTTCTGGTAAGAGGGCTCCCCTGCGCTCGGCCCGCCAGCTGGGGACAAGTCCGGGTGCCGTCCAACTCACGGGGCGCCACCCTGGCACCTTCCCGTCCCCGCCATTCCCAGGAGGCTTGACCCCCAACTGTGCCCTCCCTGGGCTGGGCCTTTAAGCCACTGGCCCTCCGGCGCGGGTGTCCTCCAAAGCCATCTTTCCGGCGCCCTGCTAGTCCCGCCCAGGCCGCCGGGCAGCGACGCCCTTGGCCTCGGGGCTGTCGATCCACATTCCACGCCTGCCGCGGACGGCTCAGACTCGAGGGGGCGCCAGGAGCCCTCTCAGGGCGCGCCCCGGGCTCCCTCCGGGTTTCTGGGCGCCCCGAGGCCTCTCCCGAGAGGTGTGCACCGCCGCTTCCAGCCCAGAGGCTGCTTTCCCCGCACCCCTCCCGGAAAAGGCCGCCTGGCGTCCGCGGCCAAGTGCACGTCCAGATTGAGGGAAGAGGGAGGGACGGACACAGCGCGGCCCGGGCTTAGCGGAGCGGCTGCCACTGAAAGGCGGTCACCCTGGGACTCAGGCGGCTGGAAAGGCCCGCAGAGGTACCCAGGCTCGCGGTACGGAGAAGCTCCCCGCAGCTGGCGGCAGATCGTGGCCGGAGTCTGCCCTCTGGCCTCACTCCACCATTCTGGGGTGACCAGGAAGAAAGATATAGTTACCTAGAGAAGGGGGGGGCTACACAGCCTCACTTCCTGTTCCTGCTGGGGGGTGCCAACAAGGCTCCTGGTCCCACCGCGCCACTGAGCCCTTTCCGTCCAAGGACACTGAGGGACTTCATCTGTCAGACCCAGTCACTGATCCCTCCCTGACTGCCTCTCCGTTAGCTTCTTGGCCTCCGGGGGCACCATCTTCGCCTGGTTCCCTTGCGACCCTCCCAGGTATTTCTTCTCAGACTCCTGTTTCACCTGCAGCAACAGGCTTCCTTTTTCTCCTGCTTCCGTGGGGTTGGCTGATGAGAGAGAAGGGAGAGAGGTCAGCAGGTTTATGCTAAGCCCCCTCTAACCCACACTGCCGGCGGCCTGTGTCCCTCCACTGCTGGTGCCACTCTACACACCTGTCTCAAGGTCAAGGCATGGAAACTGCACCACCACCCCCCATCCCCCTGTACTGCTGTTAACCCAGAGTGTCTTTTTTTTTTTTTTAAGTTTATTTATTTATTTTAGTAATCTCCACACCCAATGTGGGGCTCAAACTCACAACTCTGAGATCAGGAGTTGCACACTTCTCTGACTGAGCCATCCAGGAACACCTCCTGACACCTTTATAAATCAACTTTTTTTTAAGAAAAGATTTTATTTAGTTATTCATGAGAGACACACAGAGAGAGGCAGAGATGTAGGCAGAGGGAGAAGCAGGCTCCCTGTGAGGAGCCTGATGCAGGACTCCATCCCAGGACTTCGGGGATCACGCCCTGAGCCAAAGGCAGATGTTCAACCACTGAGCCGGCCAGGCATCCCTGTATTAAGTTCTCATCAGTTACTCGGTTTGGGGACACAATCTCTCCTGCCAGCACTGAGCCCCTGACCAATTCCAACCTTACTTTAAACACCATCTCTGTGCTGGTGTCTCAGATTCATCATCTTGCACTTCTCCTCTGGGTTGTAGACTCATCTCCAGCACTCCTGAGTGTAGCAAATAGGTCAAACTGGACACTTTAAAAGCAGCTCTCAAGTCCCGCATTGGGGTCCCCGTGGGGAGCCTGCTTCTCCCTCTGCCTGTGTCTCTGCCTCTCATGAATAAATAAATAAAATCTTTAAAAAAATAAAAACTGAGCTCTCGGATCCCTCCAGCTCTACTCCTCCTCACTATGTATGGAAACTTATCTATTCTGTTTTTCATGCCCCATACCTGGGAACCTACCTCAACTTCTCTCTCGGCCCTGCTCCAATCCAGCCATATATTGCATTGCTGTTGGATCTGTAGGCTCTGCCTCCAAAACATATTCTGAACATGTCCACTTCTCTCAACCCTCATCCCAGCCACTTCACTGTCCTCCAGTGGTTCCCACCACACCAGAAAATAAAATAAAATAAAATAAAAATCCAAATTCCCTACTCTGACCCAGAAGGCCCTGCCCATTTCTCAGATCTCATCTTGACACTCTCTTGTCACTCCTCCATTCTCTCCCCTCAGACCTGCCAAGTTCACTCCTGCCTCAGGCCCTTTGCACTTACTTGCCCTTTTCTCTGCTTAGAATGACTCATCACAAGGCTGGCTTCTGCTATGCAGGTTTTGACTTAAATATCACTTTTTTAGACAAATAGTCCCTGGTCACCCAACCTGCATCACACACAGTCCTTCCCCATAACCCTAACCCTACTATTGGCTGTAACTCACCCTATACAGGAGTCATCACTAATTGCCTTTATCTCTATATTATCTCTCTCCTCACCACCACCAAAAGTGAGCTGCCTTATACCATTTTCTGTTTGGTCACCCCTAGACTCAACCACCCCATGCCTAGAACAGTGCCTGGCACATAACAGTTGCTTAAGAATTATTTAATGATACTTACTAGGTGCCTACCCCAGTGCTGAGAAGAAAGAAACAAATCAGACTTGGAAGGTGCAATTGAGTTTGGGAGACAGAGACAATTATAAATAGAACAGTCTTGGGATCCCTGGGTGGCTCAGCAGTTTGGCATCTGCCTTCCACCTAGGGTGTGATCTTGGTGTCCTGGATCAAGTCCCATGTCGGGCTCCCTGCATGGAGCCTGCTTCTTCCTCTGCCTGTGTCTCTGCCTCTCTCTGTGAGTCTCGTGAAAAAATAAATAAAATCTTAAAAAGAAAATAGAACAGTCTTGCCTCAATGTGGCACACAGGACAAGAATACAAAGGGAAGCCCACATACCATACATCTAAATATTTAACAGTTATAAAATCAAACTATAAACAATTAAATAAAATATATTCTCAGGCTGCCTGGGTGCCACAGTTGGTTGAGCTTCCGACTCTTGATCTTGGCTCAAATCCTGATCTCAGAGTTGTGAGATCGAGCCCCACATTGGCCTCTATGCTCAGTGTGGAGCCTGCTTGGGATTCTCTTTCCCTCTCCCTCTGCCCCTCTTGGTTGGGCTCTCACAGCACTCTCTAAAATAAATAAATAAATCTTTAAAAAAAAATACATCCTCTCCTCCAAAAGGTATAAACAACCCAAATGTCCATCAACACATGAATAGATAAACAAAATGTGGTAGATCCATACAATGGAATATCATTCAGGGGTGCCTGGTTGGCCCAGTGGGTAGAGCATGTGACTCTTGATCTCAGGATTGTGAGTTTGAGCCCCACATTGAGTATAGAGATTACTTAAAAAAAAAATAAAATCTTAGGAAAAAAAAGGAACATTATTCAGCCATAAAAAGAGTAAAATACTGACACACACTACATTGTGGATGGATCTTAAAAACATGCTGAGTTGGGGCGCCTGGGTAGCTCAGTCTGTTGAGCATCGGGCTTCAGCTCAGGTCATGATCCCAGGGTCGTGGGAATGAGTCCCATCATCTTGGGGCCCTGGGAATGAGCCCACCACCTCCCTGCTCAGCAGGGAGTCTGCTTCTCCCTCTCCTACCCCTCCCCCTGCTTATACTCTCACTCACGTGGCTCAGTCTCAAGTCTTAAAAAGAACATTACGCTGAATGAAAGAAGTCAGACATACAAAAGGCCACATAGTATATAATTCCATTTATTTATTTAAGATTTTATATTTATTTATTTGAGAAAGAGAGAAAGAGCAGGAGCAGGGATAGGGGGAGAGGGAGAAGCAGGCTGGCTTCCCATTGAGCAGGGAGCCCCACATGCGGCTAGATCCTAGGACCCTGAGATTATGACCTGAGCCAAAGGCAGACACTCCACCAACTGAACCACCCAGGCATTCCTATGATTCCATTTATATGAAATGTGTGGAATAGGTAAATCTACAGGGACAGATTGGTGGTTGCCAGGGGCTGGGGGAGAGGGAATTAGAAGTGATTGTGATGGGCACGGGGTCTCCTTTCGGGGTGATGGAGATATTCTGGCTCCAGACAGAGGTGATGGTTGCACAATACTGTGAATGTGTTAAATGCCACTAATGGTAAATTTTATGTGTATTTTACCACAATTAAAAACTAATAATAAAAAAAATAAGTTCTCTCCTCCTGTCATGGCAAATGTACTTTCAGGATGACTTAGAAGGCCAGGTTCAAATGAAAACATTTTGAATCCCTAGGAGTTTTGTATGAGAATGTGGGACTCAGGGAAACCCCAGCTCTCAGCCTGGCCCCCTTTACTCCCCAACTTATCTCTCTCCTGCATAGCAGAGAGCCTTGTGCCTGTACCTGGGGACCCTGTGCCATGTGTCCAGGCTTTATTCTCACCCCTCTGCCCATAGCTGCCCTTGACCGCTTCTCAGGCTGGAGATCGTGGGGTGAGGCACACCCTGGCCGCAAGGTCTGCATTCAGGAGGTACATAGGCCTTATCTTGAGCTCAGGACCATGTGGGCAGGGAATTCTGAAGTCTGAGTACACTGAGTAGGTAGGACCTAATAGAGAAGGGAGGAGTTAGGGAGGCACTTTCCCTCTGTCACATGGGGAGGGTCCTAGCTGGAGTGTGTCCTTTAGGGCAGGGGGCTGAGGGCAACATCCCTTCTCACTGAGGCTCATGTCAAATTGTGCAGCATGACCAGGACTGCACTGGGGGAAGGTGGGGGCTGTGGGAGATGAGCCTGGAAGATAGGAGGTGATTTCCCCAAATGACAAAGGGTAAATGAGGCATGCTGGTACCTGAAAAATGGGGTGCTG